AAGCATGTCATCGGATTCTGTTAAAAGAACTAACAGAAGTTTGCTAAATAGATGAATTTGAAATAATTTTTAAATTGTATAGATAAATTTTTAAAAAAATTAAATTATTTAAATAAAAATAAAATAATAATTAATAAATAAAAAGTTAAATTTAGCGAGAGACGAGAGAAGCAATTCAGCCTGTCTTTTCGTTAACTTGTTAAATAGAGGGTTAAAGCCAACTGTAGTCCTCGTACTTTGTGAAATTGTTTGTTACCATCCCTCTACTAAGGAAATGTTCGATGTCATCCCTCTACTTTTCTTACAGTATAAATGTCATCCCTCTACTACACATTTTTTGTTCAATGTCATCCCTAATGGGATGCCATCCACACTTCCGTTAATTTTGACCCGTTAATTACTAACGGTCAAATATCCAACTTATTGTTTATTAATTTTTTTAGACAAGTGAGACCATTTTTTTTTAACTCTTTCTTTTATTTCCTTTTCTTTCTTCTTCACGGTCATTTTCCCTGAACCACAGAACGATGCCCTTGCCCTGCCCTTCTTCACCGTCTTCACCAGTTCACCAGTTCACCCATCCAGTTGTTCCTCTTCTTCACTCTTCTTCACCAACCTTCGGTCTTTCTTTCTTTCTTCGCCATCTTCACCAGAAAACCTATGCCTAAAATTACCCAAAATCGCCCAAATTTGCTGAACCCAAAATCGCCTGAAATTGTTGAAAATCATCTTGATTTTCTTCACCCAAATCACGCACCATCTTCACCAGTTCATCCAATCGGTTGCTCTTCGTCTCCATCCTTCTTCTCTATATGTTTTGGCTTTCTTTCTTTCTTTGCCATTTTCACCGAAACCCACAAAATCCTACACCCAAAATCGCCCAAAATTGCCCAAAAATGCCGAACCCATAATTGCCCAAAGTTGCCAAAAATCATCTTGCTTTTTCTTCCCCCAATCATGGAATCACCCAAACCCAGAATGTGTTGGAGCAATTGCTGTTAACCGTGGAATTTTTCATTTATTTTGTTTTGATTTTGGGTTGTGATAGTTACTGTTAATCATGAATTTTCTTGTTGATTTTGTGTTGAATTTGGGTTGGTGAGATCTGTTATTAATTGTTGTTGATTTTGGGTTGTGCTGTGGTATTATGGTTGATTTGGATTTTGAGACATATAGTTTTTGTTTTATATTGCTGTAGAAGGATGATGAGGCTTGAGCTGAATTTTGGATTACATGTTACTGGATAAGGAGCAAACACTGATGAATGAGCTCCTGTAATTGAAAAGAGAGAATTCGAACCTGCTCCTGTAATTGAAAAGAGAGAATTTAGACCTGCATGGAGAGATTAACCATTTGAAGAATTTGAACTCTGAAATGGGAAAAAAAGCTCAGAGATCAAGAGATGGTTGCTTCAATCTGGTTGAATTTGAAAATGTGTTTTCTGCAATATTGCTTATTTGGCAATTAAGTTGTATTAGATAGTTTTCTGCATTTGTAGAAGATCTTTTTATCTGCTTTTGTAATGTACCCCTTATGCCAAACCAGGGCAATCTCCTATGTACTGCAAATGTGAAATGGAATATATGACTCTTTTTTGGTCATGTTAATTGCCAAATTATGTCTATCTTTTGAGCATTTTCAGCTATATAAATCCAAGATTTGCTTGTAGAGGACAAAATAGAAAAACAGAACTTAACCAAAAAAAACGAAAGTGCAGTAGATTGGTCTCTGTAAACTTTGCTCTATTGCTTACTTATACAGGACATGACTTAGAAAAAATAGAGCAACAAAAACAAAAACAGGGCAGCACATTATAGGAATTTATATGCTCTAATTGTCCCTATCATAAACCATTAATCACAGAATATAAACCATTAAATAGATAGCATTAACACTACTAAAACTCCACAATAGATAGTTTTTTGGCTGCATTCTTTTTGTGCCAATTCCTCTGTTTTATTTTTCCGCGCCATATCCTCTGTAAACTAGAAAGAAGAAACAAAAATACAGAACCAAAAGAAAAAAAAAATGGTCCCACTTGTCTAAAAAAATTAATAAACAATAAGTTGGATCTTTGGCCGTTAGTAATTAACGGTTAAAATTAACGGAAGTATGGATGGCATCCCATTAGGGATGACATTGAACAAAAAATGTGTAGTAAAGGGATGACATTTATACTGCAAGGAAAGTAGAGGGATGACATCGAACATTTCCTTAGTAGAGGGATGGTAACGAACAATTTCATAAAGTACGAGGACTACAGTTGGCTTTAACCCTTAAATAGACGAAAATTTAAATTTAGCCGGATAGGAGACAAGCAATTCAGCCTGTCTTTTCATTAACTTGTTAGACTGTCTTTTCTTTAACTTGTTAACTTGTCTTTTCTTTGATTGGGCGCGTCGTTTTGAAAGAAATGGTCGTTTTGAAAGAAATGGAAAGGTAGTTTTATTTTGTCGGCGGGTCACGAAGCACCCACAAATAGAAAATTCAATCCAACCGGCGTATGCCACGTACCTCTTCTTCCTTACTTTCGACCTTTTTAGGAAGCATTAAATGTTGGGCCACCATCCCAAGTCTGGTTTGACTGGTTTGTTAGCTCTTTAAATTCCATGAATGTTATTTTTTATTCTCTTAAATTGTTCTATTCAAAAAAAAAAAAAATTTTGGTGTCATGTCCCAAAACTTTATAACGAAACAGGAAGACAAAAGGCTGCTTTTTCGTTTTTTATTTTTTTATTTTTTTGCTTTTTTTTTTCATATGCATTTTAGATGGACTTTGCATCTGAGCTCCAAACTTCTAGAGCTATCCTTTCTTTTTTTATTTTTTTATGATGATGTTTAGAGAGAGTTTTTATGTATTTTAAAATTAAAATTTTTAAATAATTTTAAAAATATTTATATTAACTTTATATGTTTAAAAAATTAATTTTTTAAATTAATCTTAATATTTAAATTTTAAATTTAAATTACATGATGATACTTATTTATTAATCAATTTAGTTTTTGAATTAAATTTATACAGCTATCTTGAGACGCCACGTATCGAGCATTTCATTTCTTTCATTCTTTATATAAAAAATATAAATTGACTTAACTTGTGTCTGACATAATTCTTTCATTCTTTTAATCATGCTATGTTAATTTAGAGATTTAAATGCAACATTTTTAATTTAAAATTTAAAATTTAAAATTTTTAACCATTTAATATGTTCTTTTCCAACTTTAGTACATTAGTCTAACATTATGATTTTGTTTTTTAATGATACTACCGTTGTAATTATAGGATTTTTTTATCTCTTCAAAAATATAATATTAGTAGTATTAAAAATTAATTAAAAATGTTATTGTCAAATGAAGCCTACATTGTCTTGGATTTTTTTTTTTAATCTTGAATTGCATAATAAAAATAACTATTTTTTATTACTTAATTCACATCACTTATATATTATATAACTTAAACTCAAGTTTTATTTTTATTGATTGGATAATAGTTGACCTGCACAAATATTACTTAGTTTGATTAATATTTTATTTGTTTGTAATTTTTTATATATTATATAACTTAAACTCAAGTTTTATTT